CACCCCACACCCACACCAACACCCACACCCACCCACACCCACCCACACCCACCCCACACCCACACCAACACCCACACCCACCCACACCCACCCACATCCACACCCACCCACACCCACACCCACACGCCACACCCACCCCACATCCACACACCCACACCTATATGTGAGTTTCACAAAATGTAATTTAGCTTGATGGCGTGGAGAGTGGGTGTTGATGTGGATATGCGTACTATATTCATGTCTAACACACAGTCACACTCTGTAATTATTCTACCTTTAATCTTATCTACCCTTACCTTCACCATCAAGATCAAAGTGCTTCTATCCAGTTGGTATTTGCGGCAGAGAAAAACATTTACCTTTCGCAGTTCGTAATAAAACTTCTTTCTACGTGCACGTGCAGTTCATTCTTTTCTCACAAGCATTACCCAGTTATCAAAAGGTGAGTAGAGATAAGAGGACACTATTTGCATTTCTTTCACAATAACATACACATTGTCGCGAAACAGAGTATCCAACAAACGAACGTAACCGGTTAGAACAACCATATTTCGTTCTGACAGTATTACGGTTTCTGACTAAGTTTGACGTAAAACATTGTTATTCAAATCTATGGTGACATCAAAAGATGGAAGTAAAAGTAGATCAATTTTCAATAGGTTTAGTAGTCTTTCACTTGTTTCTCTCTCTTCATTACTATCACAGTTAAACATTTTCTTTTTATTTAGGGCAGGCAACTAAATTATCTACTAAGAAGGATTTATATCCAGCATCAAAACATGAACATTGGTTAAAATTACTTTCTTCTCAGCCAGATCATAGTTGGGTCTGTGATATTTGTCGGAAAATTTTTGGTGGAAAAGATGAACGATTTCGATGTGATATTTGTGATGATTTTGATATGTGCCGAATATGCTACAGTGCAATAACACATAGACATCATATGGCACTTTGCCTTGGCAAAGAATGGCAATGCAGTGTATGTAAAAAGCAAAACTATCCTAGGTATAAACAGTCAAGGATGCTTTGAGGGAAAAAAATATTCTAAGATTTTAGAACTTCGATTTCGTTATAGATACCATTGTCATATATGCGTGCAACACGACCTTTGTGAAATGTGTTATAATGTTCAAATGTCTTTGACAAAGCTTCGTGAGTTTATCAGTATACGCTTAAAAAGCTTGTTATCCATGTTAAAACCTCAATACAGGGTGGTCCAAAAATCAGTAGTACCGAAGAAAACAATTCGAATATTTTTCCCATGTTTTGACTGAACGAGCTGATATTCTGGCCACCGATGAACGGATGTTCACAGTTTATATTCATAAAAAGACTGTTGACAAAAACTATTTCAAAGTTTGACAGTTGACTGCAATGGAAAAACTGTAATGTCCCTCTAAAATGCATGAGACATATCTGCGCTCTTCTTAAGAAATTCTCGGTGCTTGTGGCTGGAAGTTTCATGGTATACTGAGCAAGAAGACATGTATGTGTTATAAATATGGCGCCAAACGACAATAGTAGAGCTAATTAATTGGACAAATTACGCTTGTTATCTGTTTTGGTCAGGAAAAGATGATATTTTCAGTACTCCTGAAAAGTTACAGCTTTCTTTTTTTTTATTGAAGACAATCATGACAATTCAAAATTTTTTCTCTACAATTTCCTTAGGAATATGAATTATGCATACCCTTTTATTATTGGTGGAATAATCGGCCACTGTGGTAGGGATCTGCGGTTCCAAAAAAGAAGCGGGAACGGAACCGGGGACCGGAACCGCGGTTCCGGTTCCCAAGTTTGAAAAAAGCGGCCCCTGTTCGGTTCCAAAAATATTTCAAGGAACCGGGGAACCGGTAAATTACCAAATACATAAGACATTTAAGAGTTTAGTTTCTTTAATTCTTGCAATTAGTATTACTAATGTAGCAATGCTTGCAGTTTATTGAGACAACATTTTGTTCAAAACATAGACTAGAAAATAAAACAATGAGAAAACCTTTTACAACGTCACATCTTCAACATATACTTATTCAAATACAAACAACTTTTAAAAAGAAACTTATTTTCATCATTTTTTTTATCTTTTTTTGAGTAGTGTCACATATCCAAGATTTTGGAGATACCACCACATCTACCGTGGGGGATGCCGCGTCTCCAGCGGGAGACACGACACCCACACTCGAGAGATGTGGTCATTCACCACTGGAGATGTAAGATCTCCTTTAGAGAAGCGCATCCCCCACACCCACACCCGCATCTCTCGCGCGAGATGCGGCATCTCCCGCGGGAGACGTGGTGGCATCTCCAAAATCTTGGATATGTGACACTGCTGTTCGGTTCCAGTTTTTGTGGAACCGCAGATCCCTACACTGTGGTTAGAATATAGTGGAGATATTAAGTCTTTTGTTCGTTGATGGGGCTTTCAGACCACTCTGTATTGAGCTGTATTTGCGAAAAACATATCATCTGCTATTGAAAAGTTTAGTTCGATTGAATCCTAACAATGGAAGGGTGTGAACTGTTGAGCGAAAAGATTGACCATATTCGGGTCAAAAAAAAGCTTTCAACGAGAAACTAACGAATTT